AAAACAAAAAGAATGCCAGAAGACTTTGTAAAGTGAACAATGCTAAGCCTAATGGGTTGGAATTCTGTAACTCACATTAAGCAAAAGTGATTGGATATGACTGAGCAAGAGAATGTCTATTCTTCAGACGTTATAATACGATGTGTAAAATGCTATCGATTAACTGGAGAATGGTATGCCTGGCATACGGGGAGAGGTGCAGAGATATGAATTTGTTCAGTCTTAGAAAAAGAAGTCTAACATGGGATCTTGTTGCTCTTGGCTGCCTAATGGGGGATTTTCCAGAGAAAACGGAAGTCAGGTTCTTCTTTGGGGTACTCAGTGGAAGGAAGATGGGCAACAGATACAAGTAGCAAAAAGGAAATTTTAAACCTGCATTAAGATAAGAACTTGCACAATGAGTCTTTTCAGCATCCATGATGAAGGCACATAGTTTTTCTCTATACCTTGGTCTCGAATATTATCAACTCTACCCTTAAAAATGAGTCCAAATGAACTTTTTAATGAGTGATCTTTTTTTAACATTAGAACCAATTTTGCTGTATAGATTGAAACAAATCAAACAAATTGAACCTGAGGTGTAAGCGTTCATATTTAAAAAAAAAAAAAAAAAAAAAAAATCATTACTTTCTCTTTCCAGTCAGTTTTGGAAAGGAAGGGAATGAAAGTTTTTCTGCTTCCTCCCAATATATTTTGTTCAAACTACTCTGAATGCCATGATGCTAGTTTCAGATTATTTCAGATACCTAAATCAAAGCTATTAACTGTGGCTGATATTAATGCTAAAAGTTCTGTTGACCGCTTCCTATGTAGTTTGGCTAATTTTATCCCTGAAGGTATTCACTAGCAGCATATATAGAACTCGTTCAGCTTTAATTTCTCTTGTTCTTTTGTGATCAGGATGGATTAGGAGGATTTGTGAGTCATTCATGAGGAGCAAAGGCATGCTGCTGTGCTCTTCTAGGTATGGTATTACTGTTCATCATATATATCACTGACTCTACCTAAATGTTCAAATAAAGAATGTAGTCTGAGACTCATGCTGTTATATGCGATACAAAAGTTGAAGAGGAACTTTTTTCAAATGTTATTGGCTTCTTGAATGTCTGTAAGACTTTATTACCTCTAGTTTATGGTTCAAAGTCACAGAAGTAAGCTTACATCAGGATTATTTCAGAAAAAGTCAAAATCTGAAATGAAAGGTGCATCTTGAAATGACATTTAAAATGCAAGACCATATAGGACCCCTTAGGTAGCAAAATGTATGCAAGCTTTCCATGAGACCAAGATCTTTCGTAACTGACTGAAAACTACCACATGCGTTGTGCTGTCATGTTCAAAGACTCTCTCCGTCTTCCTTTCTTCAAAAGCTTGTCCTTCCATTAGGCCATTTTCAAGTGTCAAAAGAAACAAGGCAGTGTGGATCAAATTAGAATGGAAATACGGGGAAAAAACAAATTTGTAGATCAGAGCTATGAAAGCAGATTAAACTGATAATAAAATAAAGTTTTAAAAATGCAAATACTTAAATCATAAAGCAAATTGTAGGAGAAAGAGAAAATGGGTATTAAAACAGGGAAGACCAATGTTAATGTAATTTATTTTATGTATATTTAGCAACCTGACTTTTTCAGGAACAACTATAATAATAATAAAATAAAAGTAGCAGGGATTTTCCTGGATGAATACTGGGGAGACCCCTTCTTCTGGAGCCTTTCTGGATATTCCAGTCACAGACTTTATTTTGGGTGCTAATTACTGGATTCTGACCTCCTCACACTTCCCTGGATGTTCTGTTGGTGATAACAGATGACAAAAGCCACCTGGTGATCATTGTTTTCTAATGGGCATCACTAAACTAAAATTTAATCCAAAAGACATAGTATAGGCTATGGTTTATCAGGATCTGATGCTATTTTAAAGATTGTAAAAGTGGCTCGTGCTCTGCTAAGGAGACTTCTTAATAGTTTGCCTGCTTTTTGAATATCATTTATGTTCTGGAATTTTCTTTATAATCTCCTTCTAATTGTAAAATTCAAAGTCAAAAAAAGATACCTTATTGACAAGTTAGGTATTTTCTTGTTTAATTTACTGTTTTTCTGTTTGGATTCATTTTTTCATTATGAGTCTTTCAGACATTGTGGAAATTTATTGACTAAGGTGTCTTTTTTTATATGACAAAAAATTACAGCCTCTGAAACTATTTTCTCTCCTGATTTACAATGAAGTATAAGCTGGCAGCTCTGCAAAAATGGATGGCATACCATCCAGATCAATGTCATATATGGAGCATGAGGTATTTGTGTGAACAGACTGTAGCATGTGGAAAGAGAATGTTGTTATAGCATCAAATCCCTCCTTATGAGATTCCCCCCGTCCCCCCAACAATTCATTCAAAGCACCAAGTCCCAACCTCTACTAGAAAATTGCCTTCCGCAATGGATGCTTAAAAGACTACATGTATGAGTTGTGGTTGAATGTTTCTATATGTTCTTCGCTTTACACTACCACACCTATTTTGTGATTTACAACATACAAAAATCTTCATAGAGATCAAATGGGGGAAGGAAGACGGCTGCAGGTCATGATGGATATCATTCTTGTGATGGAGAGAGAAATCATGCTCCACGTGCACTGCTGGTTTATTCTGCAGTCTTTCATTTTTATGTGTATTGTAAACTGTCATCTCACCTCTGGCTCTTCAGAATAGTGTTGTGAGACTGGTCCAGTTTCTGAATTGCTTGTAAAAAGTAAACTCTAGGCTTGGGCAAAAATGCTAGTGATTTTGGGAAGAGTTTTGCTTAAGTAGTCCCAAGCTAATGGGGATCCATCACTTAGCACCAGGCTGCAACTACAGGGTACAGGATTTGATGTAGAATATTCTGATTCTTAAGCAGTAAGTATAAGAAAGTCTTCCCTGCGTTAGAGATGGCATTGCTAAATGAGAATGAGTATAAATGGAAGAAAATGTACGTGTACGTTCTGCCAAATTTGTTCAGTTATACTGTGATTGGCCAAAGTCTGTGTTTGGGTTTTATGGTTGTAGAGACAATTCTGGCCTCTCTGTACAAACAGTCTCCTGGAGACTCCCTCCAAAACTGCACTGCCGTGCTGCAGTGCCGTGTCATCTGAGCAGAGAGAGAAGTAGTAGAAGAATTGGAATCAGGAGAAGGATAACCACAGAGGGTGTATGATGAACTGGAAATCTTAAGGGCTAGACTGAGATAATAAATGGTGTTTGTGTTTTACTTTTCTATAACCAAAACCACCTTGATACAAAATATTTCAGCCTTTCTTAGGCCAAATTTGGAGTGGGCATTAAAAGGGTTACATTTTATACCCAAGAAAGTAGAGATAAGAGGGTTTCCTTAAGAGTAGCCTGTTTTGTTTTTGCAGGCAGGTATATCTACAGAGGCTATAAACCATGGAAAAAAATTGGGCGATCTGCTTTGATCTCCTATCTTGTGTTTTGCTTTTTTTAGCTGCCTTTAATGTCTTTATGGATACAGTTTTCTCTTAAAGTGTGTGTTTCACCATGTTAGACCCCCTTTTTTATTCTTGTATAAAATTCTTAGTTTAATTTTTGTGAATACAAATAATTTCATTCCACTATATCTTGATCTTGTTTGCATTGATGT